GGTTCAAGCTTTTTTTTTCTTTTTTTCTTCTTTTTTGTAAACACTGCGCTGTAGAGTCTAGTTGTGGTGTTCGGTCATTCTGCCGCTTGCTGTTTTGGGTCTCGTGGGTGGTTGGCCTTTGTGGGTGCTGTCACGTTGCTCATCTGTGTTCTGTATGCTTTCTTTTTCTTCTTCTTTGTGGCTAACTCACTGCTACGCTTTACATACGGGCGGCACATTGGTTTGTTGCTCGTGATGCTTTTGCGTCCCGGTTTGGAATTCATTAATTGCACTCTCTGAATTGAAATAATATTGTACACAAAGTGTTTATTAGGCTTCGATAAAAACGTAATTTTAGGAGTTTTAATAAAGAATAGATTAGAATACACGCATAAGAAAACAGAGAAAGTTAACCTCGGAATTTTGAGGTCAGCTATAAGGCATCAAGCTAGATGAAGGAGAAAGAGATGAATGATTATGGAGAGGCAATATAGAGGTCAGAGAGGAGGGATTAGGAAAGGGTAGTAAAGTAAGCTGAATGAAGTAAATAGGAGAGAGAGAAGAGAAGAAAGAAGAGAGCAAGAGAGACAAAGACGACAAGGACGAGAGAGAGAGAGAGAGAGAGAGAGAGAGAGAGGAGATAATAATGATGATCGCAATAGATTATGATGTATAACCATAATCAATGCAATCAACAAACACTACACTATATAATGATAATTTCAAGACATACTGGCAATAATTTAGCCTATTCCAATAATTTTCATAGCTAATAAGGCAATAGACAACACAATAATAATAACCATTATCCCCACCGTAAACACCGTTCTCACCCGTCGGCCTCCCCAGCGGGCAGCCGAATCCCCCGTGGAGTACAGCTAGGAGGAGAATACCCACAGACCACCAACGCTCGGAGGCACACACGTCTCTAAGCACCACTTAAACTAAGATATGTTCTTTAGTACAAGACGCACGCCTATGCAATAGAGTAGACACCGAAGTGTTTCACGCCTGCTTTACATCATATATTGAGAACTGCGGCTGTATATACAAGGATGAGGATGGATATAACAAACATCTACGCTAGCTACCATAGACGTTTCACTGATTACTTTGATAAAGGTTATGTAACTAGTTTGTTTTACTTTTATAGTTATTTTAATTTTTAGTTTTTTTTTTTTGAGAGTTGGGGATAGGTGAGTGGGGGCAAGGGGAACTAGCGTAGATGTGAAAAAGTCAGGGGGTGAGGTATCACGAGATGTTGAGAATGTGTGTATTAATTTTCCCACTTATGACCATCGTTATCATATAAAATCATCACCAATATACCTCGTCCCATTCCAGTTACATTACTATAATCCATCTATTCACTACTAGTCCCTAAATTCATATACACTAACTATATAGTACCCATTCTCCCCTACTTACTATACTACCTCCATATCACCTGTGTAGTCCCGTGTGCACATGTGCGTGCCGCCCAGAGCTGGACAGTGGGTGCTTCGAACCGCGGGAGCGCGGAGCGCGGCTGCGCCGTGCTGCTCTGCGTGTCGTGTCTCGACGGGTGTGGCTCGTGACTGTCCGTGGGCTGGCGCTTCGCCTTTGCGGGTGTTGCCACCGTGTGCGTCGCGTATGCCGCACGTTAGTTGCATTGTGTGTGTCGTGTCGGCTGTGCATCGCTGGGTGTGTGGTTGGTGTGTGTGTGTGTGTGTGTGTGTGTGTGTGCAAGGCTGCTGGCTCGCTGTGTTCTGGTGTATAGTGAGTGGAGTGTGTGGTGTTTTATATATACGATAACCCGATGACACTGAACATATATACTACTGTGATACCAACGTAAATATATAAGCATATTGTCATTAGGACACCAGGAAATTAAGGAAATCTTTCGGGGATAATAGGGTCCAGCACCATCTAAGCAGCACGAATTCGAGCTTCTAACCAGACCCGCCGACCTCCCAGCCATGGGCAGCCATGACTGGATGACCCCCGTCCAGGGCACCATGGACCCAAGCTCACCCCGCTCTAGCAACGCAGCCGGAGAATTAACAAAGAGCATCCACGAGTTACGGGCGTCGTTGATCGGGTCTCCATGCGCTACGCATTGGATCAAGCCGTGGCGCATAATGCACCATGACCGTAGATCTAGACCTACCGCTACCATGTCCAGCTCGGGGCACTAGATGGAATCGGATCGGGCGAGACAGCACCAACGGGGAACTGGCGTATGCTTCGATGGCACGCAGGGAACGCGCCGCCACCGCTCCGAGACTATCTCTTGCGCATCACTTTGAAGGGGCCTGTTTCGTCGCACTTATAATGCCTGCATTGAAATGTATCATATACGTCGTGCGATGACGTTTTTTTATACGGGTCTGTGAGCGAGAATGACGGGAGAAGAGGATAAAGATTAGTGATTAGATATATTTAAAAGGGCTTGTTAGGGAGTAACTGGGAAGGGCACATCATTTACGGTTAAGAGAGTACCATCAGCCTTGGGTTTTATGGAGTACCTTGGATGGCTACTTGAATTTTTTTTCCCGTCTTTATGGACGGTTAATGACTCAAAAGAAGCACAATAAAAATAATCCTTAAGTATATTGATATTATGAAGGGGACGAAGCGACTGGCTCTTGTTTTTTTTCTTTGAGAGAGAGTGTACAAGAAATAGAGAACGTGCATGGGTTTGGGTTTCGTGTAAGTCGTCTGATGAATAAATAACGTATGTCCTAGGTATTTCATGATAGTGGCGTTTTATTAATAATTCCTGTAGTGGTGCTGGTTGTTACGAAGGAATTGGGGTCTATTCGCTGGTCAAAAGATAGGGGATATATACTTATATCTTGTTATTGAATTGTTATTATCGATCACTCATTTCTATTCATAATCAATGTAACATATAGTGTACTGGGTAAGATGTTACATATACACTGAAGTCTGGTAGTGTGTCATGTTAGAGGTTGTTGTCTAGTGTTTGATATGTTCGTATGCAGTGTGTGAGTTGTAGTTGCTAGGTGGTTATGAGTGTGATGTGTGTGTGTGTGTGTGTGCGTAGTGTATTAGTTATGGAGTCATGGTAATTTGCAGATAGTATGCGCGTGAGTATGTCATTCAATGATCGGGCAGTCGTGCGTGCGAGTGAGTATGGTGCGTGTGTGATGGAAGGTTTTGCTGTAAATATATGAATATAACACTCTACATTTTGAATATGTATACCTAAAGGAGAGAGCGAAGAGAGGGAGGAGGGAGAGAGAGAGAGAGGAGAGAGAGACGAGAGAGAAGAGAGAAGAAGCACGAGGACTCAATGAGAGAGAGAAGAGAGAGAGAGAGAGAGACGCCATGTCATGCACACGCGAGATGAGCGAGAGAGAGGAAGAAGAGAAGGAGAGAGAGAGAGGGAGAAGGGCCCAGACGTAAGAGACCGGAGACGAGACCGCAGAGCGTTAGATAGGTGTATCGGAGACGAAGAGGTGGAAGGTACGGGCGATGGTCGCCAAAGAGGCAGGGGAAAGTCAAGAGAGAGAGCACAGTAAGAGCGGCAGCGCCGTGCACTGAGCTCTCTCTCCCTTCGGCGAAGCTAGGAGTAGCGGCATCTCCGACATGAGCCTCGAGCTGAGGCCGGGTGGTTCGGAGGCGCGCGCGGGCAAGAAGGAGTGCAAGCGAAGGGCGAGATAAGGACCGAGGGGAGGCGAATCACAGCGACGCAGAGTGAGCGCGAAGGAGTTGAGCCGGTGATTACTACGTGTGCCGAGAGCTTTCGAGACGCAAGGAGAAGTTACTGTGAGTGGTGATTGGTACTGGTGGTATGTGGTTTGAGCCGCTGTGGTATGTCTTGTTCGGTGATTCGGGGCGGGTTCTGTGGTTATGGGTGGTGGGTGGGTGGGGGGGGGTTGTACGGTAAGTATTAAAGAGGGGTTGCAAATATGGGAGAGATAGATGTATCTTAAAATGATGTTCTGTTAGAGAGAAACAGGACAACAGTAATTCCAAATGAGTGTGTTCAAGATATTGCATAATGTAAGTTTTCTTGAGAAGCTTTACCGTTAAAAAAAGAGAATATATTTAGCTAGATATTTATGTTTATATCAGTAATAATTTTTTATATAAAAAAAACTCTCTTCGTCTTCCGATAGCCAGGGACTAACAAACAACCCACCATCACGTAACCTCAAACTAAAACGAAATTCCATGTCAAAACACTGAAATCCACGGAAACCAACCACCCTCTTGTTCACCCCCCCTCTCTCTCTCTCTCCCCAACAGCCAATTCGCCGCCACCATCCCCCGCCCCTTCTCCGTGCGCTACAACCCCTACACGCAGTCGGTGGAGATCCTGGACTCGAAGCCGCAGATCCAGAGCCTGGTCCGCGAGATGAGCTGTAACATGCAGATCCTTATGGACTCCCTGATCAAGCTTAGTTAGGGGGAGGCTGAGTGGTGAGCCGTGCGTGTTGTAGGTGCTTTGGAAGTGAATCTGAATATATATATATGTGTGTGTATAGATGTGGAATTGAGATGATAATATAATGAAGCGTGTAGGTTATAGTAGGAGAAGAAGAAAAAAGGAAATAAGGTGAATTGGTTTGGAAATAGGGTAAAAATCCTTCGAGGTGATGCTTGAGTATTTTTTTACTTAACCTTGTTCTTGAGTGGCGACTGAATACGCACGCTAGGATGATAATGCAAATTGATATTACACACTTACGAATAACATAATAGAAAAAAAAAACAAATTATATCTGATGATGAACAGACAGGTAATAAAATACGTATTCAGTAACGACTCCACAAGGGCTTCGCAAACTGAAGAATCTTATGAATATTCTCTCTTAACCTTAACGCATTTGATAAAAAAAGAGACAAAAATAATTCACAGTTGAAATTTTGCTCAGTTGCTAACTTGTATATTAAGTAGTAGTCTGTAGGCGAGGTTGTGTCATTTGCGTTGGAAGTAAATAGGCCTAAAAAGTCTCTGATGCGTGGATTGGGTCCCGTGCCCTGTCTTCTGTGGTAAAACTGCTGTG